TTGATAAATTGCAGCTTTCCATGAATAATATGATGTGATCGGTATAACTTAAATTACCGATGAATCTTCTGCCAATTTTCACTTCTTCCTCTGATCCCAATTCAGCTTGTTATATGTTCTGCATGCAAACAGAACAGACAGGAAGATAAAATACACCCTTGCCTGAAGACTTTGCCTATACCAACCATTCCATTTCCCCATATTTTGTCCTAACTGTAGTGCCTTGTCCATAATACAGGTTATATATAAGGACAATCAAATGCTGAGGAAAGGCCATTTCTTTCAAGCCCACCCATAGCTTCTTGTGACAAAGGCTTTGCTGTAGTCTTTACAACATAGAATGATTTTCTTTTGAAATTATTTGGTGTGTTCTCTTAGGTAACCTATATTGGCAATATGAGTTTGAGGGACTATTCCTTTTCAAAATCCACCTTGAACATCAGGCATTCTTGCTTCTGTTAGGGTAAATTTATTTGAGCATCACATTGCTTACATAGAAAACGAATGCAATAGTCCTATCATTGTTGCACCCCTGAGCATCTCCAGGGGATTGTATGGAGACTGTAATGTACAGTGACCATTTCCAGTCCATGGATCGTTGTTTTGCTTTCCATATTGGCTAGCATTTTCTTGTTAGGATTTGGACCAATTCAGTCTCTGAAGCTTGGAATAGTTATATTGATACCCTATCTACTCTAGGTATTTTATTCCTTCTTACAGCTTTCAGAGCAACTTTTGCATAATTTTCTAATGCTGCAAGTTCTTCCTCTTCAAAAGAATCTGTCATCCTTTTATCTCTTCTGTATGGTGCTTCCATATATTGTTTCTCTTTATTTTGCCCTGTTTAGATCTTATGTTCTCCTGTTGATCTTTCAGCCTCCCTCATCTAGGTTTGAATTTCCCTTGAATTCATATCTCTTCATTGCTCTTCCCCAGTTGTCCAAGGAGTGCCTCCCAACCTGGGAGTTTCATCCTCTGGTACTATCTCTTGCTTCATTTTGGAGTGTACGTAAGAATATTCAGAAGTGGCTTATCATTGCCTCCTTCTGTGCAGCACAAGTCACAGTTCGCTAGAGTGTCACTGCTGTTGTCTGTGAAAGATCCTCCACCAGTGTCATCTTCAAATCTGCCTTCTTCTTATTAGAGGCCTTTCAGCAGTTTCTCTGCCCCGTCACTAGTAGAGATCTCCATTCTTTCCTGCTGATGTGACCATTCCTTTGGAAGAGGTAGACGGCTCTTGGTCTGGTGCCTCACCCTTGACGATTCCAGCTTGGGTGACCCTGCTAAGAGACCAGGGTGGTGAGAGAGTCTGTCTTTGTGGTGGCATTTTTCTTGACTTCTCTGAAGATCTCCCTTGCCATGTGAAGATCTGCATCCCAGAGGGAGGTGTCTAACAGAGGAAAGTACACATTATACTAAGTGAATCTCACTTCTGGTTCCTCCACAGCTGCCCCTGGGCCTGAAAAACGTTGCTTGTGCATCCAGAAGGTATCCTGGATGGTCCCACCAAGGCAAATCAGCAAAGTTACTATCTACCCTGAGAGTCCTCAGTGTGCTGTTCCTGAAGTCATGTAAGCGACCCCAACCAAGCCAGTTTATTGGAGAAATCATTTTTATTAGCCCTTGGCTGTGTGGAAGCTCCTTATCACTCCAGCTACTTTCTCTTTCTTCTCGGACAGAGCCACCCTAAAGAGTGGGAGGGAAATCTGCCTGGACCCCACAGCAGCATGGGTCCGGAAGGTGATGGCCACAAGGAAGAAGGTATTTACATCAACTGTTGTGAGAAGCTGGCTGAACAAGAGTGGTTAGAGAGAGCCCAGTTGAAATAACACTGTGCAGAGTTCACTCGTAACTGAGATACAAGGAAAGGAGCACCTCCTTTGGCACAAGAGACTCAAGCCCTCACATCCAGAGAGAGCTCTGCAACACCCCTCCCTAACTTCCAGGAGTGCTGCCACCAGTGAGAGTAGAAAATAGTGTGCCAAATACACTCTCCATTTGGCTTAATATAGAGTAACTTTTTTTTCTAGAAGAAAATTTTGGACATGCGTATATGATTGCAGGTTTGCCATTCCCTTCCTAGTTATTTAGAGGCTTGGTACAAGAACGATGCAAAGTAGAGGTTTTGTGATCAGTACACAGCTCAGTCACATTAGTCCAATTCTTCAATTATAAATTAATTCATGTATTAATTCAGGATACCTGGATTAACCATTAGGTGCAAATACAATCAATTCCTCAAAGTGCTCTTAGTCAGCCAGGTCTACTGTAAGCAGTGGCAATTAAGGTGATCAGGAAAATAGGGTTTTATTTATTTTGTTTCTAATTCGCAGCAGTGGAACAGTGGTTGGACTCTCAGACTAAGACAACCCAGGGCCAAATTGCCAGACTCAGGGCCTCCACAACAGGGCTGATTGTCTGGCGTAGCAGGACAGGGGTGCTGCTGGTGGATGTGGATCTCAGTGGAACACAGGAGGACCAGAGGCGCAGGCAGAGTCAGGAACAAGTGGGGCACCCACTTGCTGGCCAGCAAGGCTTGGCAGGTGGAAAGGCAGCGGCAGAGCCATGCACAAGGAATGTCAGATACCGCCGGGGCATGGCAGGTGTGGTGGCAAAGGCACGACCAGGAGCAGGCAAGGGTCAGGCAGAGACAAGGCTAGGCCGAAGGCACGAGGCAAGGATGGAGGCAGGACTAGGGAGACGAAATAACCAGCACACAGGCCCCTGATGCTGTGTCCATGCTGAGCAGCGCAGGAAAGCCTTTTGGGGACCCTCCCAGATTGCCCATCTGTACTGCAGGCCGTGGTCCTTCCATGCAGCTGCAGGTCTGATCCTGGTCCCCCTGCACTTGCACAGAGGATCATGCAGCTGTTTGACCTCGTGTCATCAGCTGGAGCTTGTTGAGACTTCATATCCTGCCCCTCCCCGCCCCCTACCCAAAGCCATGAAGCTCCATTTGTTGCCTTGGCTTATCCTTCTGAGGTGGGGGCTTCCTCTCTGTCTCAGCCCAACTTACCACACTAGGCAATGAGAACAAAAAGGGATGGTGGTGGTTAAAAAGAAAATCGCTTCCACCTCTTTTCAATAGGCAAACCGTGCCAAGTTCCATAGTGGAAGGCTGGAATAGAAATAAACATGGACAAGCAGAAACTTGTAGCATAATTTTGCATGGTGTTCTCAGTTCCTAACAGAAGTGCCACTCTTCAGGTGCTTACCCGAGAGAAACAGAGAAACATAGAAACTGAGCAAGTCAGAAGGGGCCTCTCAAGCTATCTAGTCGGACCCACGGCTCCAGCTGGCTACGCTCATGACATGCCTACCATGTGGCTGTCCAGTCTATCCTTGAACACCCTCACCAGTGGGGCTTCAACCACCTCCTGTGGAAGTCCATGCCACACCCTCGGGGTCCTAACTGTCAGGAAGTACTGCCTGGCATCCAAATTGAACCTTCGTTCCTTGAGTTTGGCTCCACTGGAGCACCTCCTGCCTTCCTCTGCAGGGCAGAACAGCTCTCTACCCACCTCCGTGTGGCACCCCTCACGTACATATATGTCGCCAACAGATTGCCCCGGAGCCTCCTCTTCCCCAGGCTGGCACTCATGGTCTTTTTTAGCAGGCTATTAGCAGCTCCTTTTTCTAATAGAAGTAGTGACAAAAGACTGGCACTGATCAGGGCCACACCAGGTTAGTTTCGGCATGGTTTCTGAGTTGCATGCCTTCAGACCATACCGTGGGAGCTTTATTAATTGATCTGCAGATCAACTAACAATGGATGTGCAGGTATATATAAATACAGTTTTATAGGCAAACACAATGTTTACCAAGCCAGAATACCTCCTTACACATTTAAAAGTGCTTACCATTTAATGGCACTGCTCCCTTTTTCAATAAGGAGGCAAGGTACAGCTTATGAGGTACAGTTGTGAGTCTAGTTAGCTGCATGATTTAGAGGGATTTTTAAAGTAAATGTTATTATTATTTTCTACAAACTAAAAAACATTAATCACCAGAAACATCAGACCTACTGGGTCAGCCCCCTATTATTTTTAATAGCATTCCGTAGACATATTCAAATCTTTGCATAGTCCCGTTTCTCTAGCCAATAATAGAAAGAGTTCCAAGATTGATAGAAGTATGTATCCTCTTTCTCCTTCAGAAACAAAGTCAGTCTGTCCATTTCAGCATAGTCCAGAATCTTTTTCAAAATCAGTTCATCAGTGGGTGGTTCTTCACTCCTCCAAAATACAATCCTTGCCGCAGTAATTCCATGTAAAATCAAATACGTTGCTTGTTTATCGACATCTTCAGGTACAGTGCCTAGTAAGAAGACTTCAGGTTTAAATAATAAAGATGTTTGTAAAATTTCCTCAAGCCATTTATGTATTTTAGCTCAATATTTGTTTGCCTTATCACAAGTCCACCACATATGGTAAAAAGTACCCGGTTTATGTTTGCATTTCCAACATCCATTTGACATATTTGGAAACATCTTTGCTAGTCTATTTGGCAATAGGTACCATCTATAAAACATTTTATAAAGATTTTCTTTATATGAGGTTGCTAAAGTTACCCTGATATTTCTTTTCCACAACTTTTGCCATTCTGTAACTCAATATTATATCCAAAATTTTGTGCCCAGATTTAAAGGGAATTTGATAACCAATTGTGCCCACATTCTTTCCAGTTTCTCACATTCTCTTGTTGACTTTTGCAGAATCCCCGTTAGAATCATCAGCAAGGTGGAACAAACCTTGGAGGAGCTTGGACTCTAGTGAAACATGCTGCTGTAGAATAATGAAGAGTCAAGAGGAGATAACCAGTTTTTAACAAAGCAGCATATAGCTTGAAAAATGAGTAGCTCTGGATGACCTTAAAAGCTGAATTCTCAATCAGTGCAATAGCACTTTGCACTATTATGTAATATGAAAACCTCGAAACTGCACTTTGTAATGACTAGGAATGGCCATCTATCTATTTGACAATTCTGTTTTCCACCGGCTATGGGGCCAAAGGACTTTGAACATACAAAGGATGCCAAAGGACACAGTCTAGCAGGAGCTTATTCTTCTGAATTGGAAAGTATATTTGTTCAACAGAGGAACGTCTCACAGTTTATATGAAAATAAACTATTCTGATCTTGATCTGTGGGGTGGATTTGTGCATTAATGTCTGACGATCAAACCATATGCTCACTAGTGCAGAATCTACTTGTGTGCTGATAGGTTTGTAACAGGAGAGGGACCAACCAGGAACGAGATCTTGGGCTACTGTTGTGCAATGCAGTGAAAATATCAATTATACAGTGGCCACTTTTGGTATTTAACGCACAGTTAGGGTTTGGTATTAATCATGGCGGCAACCTGACTGCACTGGCACAGGAAGCTGTGCCGGCAAAGATGGTACAAATCTATGCTGTGGCTGCACTTAAAATATTGTGTACAATTTTAGTCATTGCACACAAAAACAGATATTGTATAGCTGGAAAAATGCAGAAAAGGACAGCTAGAATGATTAATGCATTGGAAGAACTTCTGTATGTGGAAGGTCACAACAGTTGAAATTGTTTCTTAGAAACCTGGATAAGCAGAGTGATCAAAGAGGGCTAGAATTATGCATGGGCTAGAGAGGGTGGGGTGAGATTTTGTTCTCCTTTTCCCATAGTACTAGAGCCTGGAGTGCCTCATTAAGCTGCTTGGTGGGAAATTCAGGACAGAAAAGAGGAGGAACTTCTCCACACAGCACAACATTAGGAAATCAGTTCCACGATATGTAATGGTGACCATCCACTGAGCTGACTTTAAAAGGGATAGGACGAATTCACAGAGGTGAAGCCTATTTATGGCTACTAATCTGGTGACTTCATGTTGTCTCCAGCATCAGTGGCGTACATGAGTTGCTGCGGAGCTTGGGAGAATGATGATGTTGTACTTATATCCTGCTTGCGAGATCTTGTGAGAAACTGGATGCTGGACTGGATGGTGCATTGGTGTGCTTCAGCAGGGCTTGTCTTATTTTATGGCTTGTATGAACACAGCCATGATGCACAGAGAAAGTAATGACATTTCACAACATCACAGAAAGACAACAAACAGCAGCACCAGGCATACAGCCAAGATACACCTGACTGCATCCCTAAATCTCATATTCCTCAAGCATCTTGCAAACATTTCTTTCCTAATATTTTGCCCATGACATTGACCTAATTGGTCGGACCAATTGCAGCGGAAATACATCATCCAAGTTCTCTGGAAACTACAAGGGCGATGGATGTTTTGTTTACCTATTCCTGTTTCTCTGGAATAATTTTTCAGTTCTTCTTTTGAAACTTATCTCCAGAAACACTCAGTGAAACTTTGAGGAGAGTGGCAGAACTCAGAGTCACCCTGAATCTCATCTTTGCATTTGCCTTCAAAATAAGCTGCTACCTGCTTCAGATACCTTTTCTATCTCCAGAATAAAGGTTAAGGTTTTGTGAAGGTTATCTTTGGGAAAGAAAGCCTATCTTCATTCCTTCTGAAAGAAAGGTTTCCTTTAGCTGCCTTGCAAAGAATCTCATCACATGGAAGGCCTGTGGGAATGTGGGAGAAGTGTGTAGGCTCCAAATTTCTCCTTGCACTGCTCAATGTGGAGTTTTCCTATGCATTTATCTGGCTGTTTAAATGGTTTATCCTATACATGTTTAACCAGGAAAAAGAGCTGTCCAACTCTCACCCATTCCCCAGCCAACTTTTCTTCTGCCCAAATCTGTATTGGATTATGCTCAATATAGCTTTATTTCAAAAACGTCCTCTGCTCTTGGAAGATTAGGTAAAAGCACAGTATTTGCTTAGTCCCTGGTCACTGTGCAAACATCAAGAGTTCATAATTGTGGGAGGAAGAAGTGGGGAGTCAATGCAGTGTTCCTCACATCTGACAGACTGTCTGATGAGGAACATGGCCTCCATCATGATCTCTCTTTTGTACGTCTGGGCTCTCCTACCTTTGTTCACAGCAGGGACGGTAAGGAAGGTTCACCATGTATTACTGCTGTTATTTCACCTAGGCTTCCACATCACCATTCTCAGTTTCCAGAGGCTTTCTGAAAGTTGACTGCAGCTTACATAGACATTTTCTTAATGACCAATTTGGAAAAGGAAAAAAAAAAGAAAAGGAAAAAAGCAGCAAACATAAGGGCCATATACCAAAGCTTGTAAAACAAGGAGTGTGGAAAATCTATACATGCCTCTCTTGAATTGTAAAGGGCTGCAATCAGCCGCAGAGATGAACTGGCGTCCACCAGAATGAACTAAACCAAGAAGAATAATTCTTTGCACAAGTGTGCCATGGAGCTGATGGCTCCATCTGCAGTGGCTGGTGGCTGAAACTCTATTTTTGGGGGCAGAGGCAGTCACTCCGTGACATGGAGAGCGCCTTAAAATCTCAGCGTATAACTTAGAGTGGATACACACTCACCGTGATGCTGGAATTACCATGGTAGTAATGAGATGGAGCTGTAGTGTTCTCATATGATTAATCTGATACAGTTGTAAGAAATATTTCCTATTTCATGGACACAGGGTGACCGGGTTGTGCTGCAGGGGCAGGGGCAGGGGCAGGGTTGGGAGACAAGACAACCCTCCCGCAATGGTCATGATAGTCAAGCAAGCTGTGCGATGTAAACTGCTGGGCTGCCGGGGAAATGGATGGACCCTCCTTCCTCTGAGAAGTGAATAAAGTGGGACAGTCAGGTTGTGCTGTCGCTTAAAGGAGATGAGAGAACTGGGCGGATGCTGACTCTTTCATATCAGGCTGTTTGCAGTCTATCTGGTAGCAGTTCTTTGAATGATCCTTGCTATTTTAAATAACAAGCTAATGGCTGCCTTCCAACTTCTGTTTCCACTCAGTAGGTTTTGCAAGCTGATCCCTTGAAGCAACCGTCACTCAGTCCAGTGGAGCTTACATCGTGTTAACTCTGAACAGGATGAATGTGTTCATATAGGAAAGAAGCATGGAAATATGCACAGGCTTTGATGAGAAAAGGGAAAATAGCTAGCAATCTGATGTGGATTCAAGTTGGAAAGAGCTTTGAGATGGAATTAGAGCAATTCTGGCAAGCTTGAGCTTTGCTGACATGTTGTTCTTGTTAGCCGCGAAGTTGTGTCTGACCCAACGCGACCCCATGCACAACACTCCTCCAGGCCTTCCTGTCCTCCACCATCTCCCGGAGTCCACTTAAGCTCACACCAACTGCTTCAGTGACTCCATCTAGCCACTTCATCCTCTGCCGTCCCTTTCTTCTTTTGCCATCTATTGTTCCCAGCATTAGACTCTTCTCCAGGGGGTCCTTCCTTCTCATTAGGTGGCCAAAGTATTTGAGTTTCATCTCCAGGATCTGGCCTTCTAAAGAGCAGTCAGGGTTGATCTCCTCTAGGACTGACCAGTCTGATCGCCTTGCGGTCCAAGGGACTTGCAGGAGTCTCCTCCAGCACCACAATTCAAAGGCTTCAATCCTTTTGCACTCAGTCTTCCTTATGGTCCAGCTTGCACAGCCATACATTGCAACTGGGAAAACCATAGCCTTGACTATATGCACTTTTGTTGGCAGGGTGATGTCTCTGCTTTTTAGTATGCTGTCTAGATTTACCATAGCTTTCCTCCCCAGGAGCAAGCATCTTTTAATTTCTTGGCTGCAGTCCCCGTCTGCGGTGATCTTGGAGCCCAGGAAAATAAAATCTGTCACTACCTCCATTTCCTCCCCATCTATTTGCCAGGAAGTGAGAGGACCGGCTGCCATGATCTTAGTTTTCTTAATGTTGAGTTTCAAGCCAACTTTTGCGCTCTCCTCCTTCACCCGCATCAAGAGGCTCTTTAGTTCCTCTTCACTTTCTGCCCTGAGAGTGGTATCATCTGTATATCTGAGGTTGTTGATATTTCTCCCAACAATCTCAATTCCAACTGGTGATTCATCTAGCCATGCCTTTCTCATGATGTGCTCTGCATATAAGTTAAATAGGCAGGGTGACAGTATACAGCCTTGCCAAACTCCTTTCTCAATTGTGAACCAATCAGTGGTTCCGTGTCCAGTTCTCACTGTTGCTTCTTGACCCGCATATAGGTTGCTCAAGAGACAAATAAGATGGTCTGGTACTCCCATCTCTTTAAGAACTTGCCACAATTTGTTGTGATCCACACAATCAAAGACTTTAGCATAGTCAATGAAGCAGAAGTAGATTTTTTCTGGAACTCCCTAGCTTTCTCCATGATCCAGCGTATGTTGGCAATTTGATCTCTAGTTCCTCTCCCTCTCTGAAATCCTGCCTGTACTTCTGGTAGTTCTCAGTCCCCATACTGCTGGAGCCTAGCTTGTAGGATTTTGAGCATAACTTTGCTAGCACGTGAAATGAGTGCAATGGTGTGGTAGTTTGAACATTCTTTGGCATTGCCCTTCTTTGGGATCGGAATGTAAACTGACTTTTTCCAATCCTGTGGCCACTGTTGAATTTTCCAAGATTGCTGACATATTGAGTGTAGCACTTTTACTGCATCATCTTTTAGAATTTTGAATAGCTCAACTGGAATATTGTCGCCTCCACTAGCTTTGTTGTTGCTCAGACTTCCTAAGGCCCATTTCCAGGATGTCTGGCTTGAGGTCAGTGACCACCCCATTGTGGTTGTCAGGGACGTTAAGCTCTTTCTTGTATAGTTCTTCTGTGTAATCTTGCCATCTCTTCTTAATCTCTTCTGCCTCCGTTAGGTCCCTGCCATTTTAGTCCTTTATCATGCCCATCTTTGCATGAAATGTTCCCTTCGTGTCTCCAATTTTCTTGAAGAGATCTCTGGTCCTCCCTATTCTATTGTTTTCTTCTATTTCTTTTCGCTGTTCATTTAAGAAGGCATTCTTATCTTTTCTAGCTATTCTCTGGAATTCTGCATTCAATCGTTTGTATCTTTCTCTTTCTCCCTTGCCTTTCTCTCCCCTTCTTTCCTCAGCTATTTGTAAAGCTTCCTCAGACAGCCATTTTGCTTTCTTGCATTTCTTTTTCTTTGGGATGGTTTTAGTTGCTGCCTCTTGTACAACGTTGCGAACCTCCGTCCATAGTTCTTCAGGCACTCTGTCTATCAGATCTACTTCCTTAAATCTATTTGTCACCTCTACTGTATATTCATCAGGGATATGATTTAGGTCATACCTGAGTGGCCTAGTGCTTTTCCCTACTTTCTTCAGCTTAAGCCTAAATTTTGCAATGAGAAGCTCATGATCTGAGCCACAGTCAGCTCCTGGTCTAGTTTTTACTGACTGTATAGAGCAGGGGTCTCAAACTCAACTTGCCTGGGGGCCGCTGGAAGTAGAGTCTGGGTGAGACTGGGCCGCATCAAGTATTCCACCGCGGTGGTGGTGGGCCGCTCATCCTGCATCACTCCCGGAGCCTGGCCCAGGTGCCGCCGGCGCTTTGAAGGCCGCAGGGCCCCTTCCCTGTGCCCCGCCCATCCCGGTGCACAGCTTAGAGGGAACATTGCACCCAGGGTAAAGACTCACGCAGGTGCTTGTGAGAAAAACACACGGGCTGCACTATCACTAAACTTTGATATCAAGTGGGGGCCACAAAATATCGTCCCACGGGCCGCAATTGGCCCACACGCCACGAGTTTGAGACCCCTGGTATAGAGCTTCTCCATCTTTGGCTGCAGAGCACATAGTCTATCTGATTTCTGTGTTGACCGTCTGGTGATGTCCATGTATAGAGTCATCTCTTGGGTTGTTGGAAAAGAGTGTTTGCTATGACTGATATATGGCTGATATATGCATACCTAATTCTTTGTAGCGCCTGTTCTTGACCTCTTCTTTCCTTTTCCATTTCAGTTCCATTGCCCTGTGTTTTCCCATTTACTTACAAACAGAAAGTCTACTCTTCATGCACTAAGGATGATTCTTCTGATGGACAACCGTGGTGTGCCACAACCTCCAATTATGATGAAGATCAGCAATGGAGGTCTTGTGTCCTTAATGGTAAGACATGTGGAATCCAACTAGAATCCTACCATGCACACATGCTTAGCTGTATATTCCTTTAGAGTTTCCCTCTATCCCCAATTTTCTTGCTGAGATTGCATTTGCAAGTCCCCTAGGAGTGCACTCCAGTGGGCTTAGGGTCTTTTTTAATTTTTTTTTATTAAGATTTTAAACTAAAACTACACATATCAATCATCACACACATCAGATTTACTGGGTCAGCCCCTACAACATGTCTTTTAACATTCTATGATCATACTATAATCCTTTTATAATAACATGGAAACATCTTTAGATCAAAACCAAGTCCCGTTTCTCCAGCCAAAGAAAAATGTAATTCCAAATTTGATAGAAGTCACTATCTTCCTTCTTCCATCTTCTGTATTGGTAAAATCAATCCCATCTTTTCTTGCAAAATCCTGTTTCTCTTTACCATTATTTAAGGGAAGCTTTTCCAGGTTGGGTGAAATTGCAACATCTTCTTTCTTCTTCAGTAATAGATTTCATCTAAACATTTCTGAACAATTCAAAATCTATCCATTTTTCTAATAAAAAATAACTTCCTCACTACCATGATTACTAGTAACTTCAAAAGGGTCTATTTGACATCTCAAAGGGCATCCTAACTACTCTGCTTAGTGAGAACTTTAAGCCAATTTTCTTTAAACTCACTAATGTTTCATCTAACTTAAACTCCATTTAATCAAATATGGTTAACTCCATACAGTATCACATATAAACTTACCAACCCATATAAATCATTCATATTTTTTTAAATAGTAAGTTCTATTTTCAATTTCAGATATAATCAGAGATATCCATTTAACACTGTTTCATTAAGCTAAGTTGTTAAGTTTTCACCAATCACATTAAATTAGCCTTTCTGTATCTCATGTGCACATACCAGCCTATTTAAATCATCCCTTTTTAAGATGAAAAGAGAAACAAGGAGAAAGAAAGAGAAAAATCTTTACAGTTACAAATAACATCAAAAGCATCCATTTATCATCTCCAAAAATGGCTTAACAACTCTGTTTGGTGACTATTAATACCTATAATGAATTCTCTTATTTTCAAATACAGATAAAATCAAAAACATCCACTTAGCATGTTTAAAAGCACCATTAATTTATCTATTTGGTGATAACTAATACCTATAGTGTCTTTCAGCCGAAATTTCTTTAAAGTAAATTACTAAAGCTTCACCCAGAACAGTAGCTTAGCTTTTCTACATTACATATGAGCATGCCAACCTCTATGCGTCACCCCTTTTTGAAATAACAAGAAAGAAAGTTCTCTTATCTTCCCTTTGATTTTTTTTACACCTCTACCAAACCTTTCTGTTTTCTTTACATTATAACATCGTAATATCTGTAGTAGAATTTTCAAATGTAGCCACATAAACAAAGCCTCTCTTAAATAGTTAACTGTTTCCTCCTTCTCCAACATAGCAAGCAAATCCAATAACTTCATGCTGATTAGCTCCACAGATTGTGCCAACTTTTCCACTCGTACAAAAAAACATGCCTGAATTAAATCATTTAATAGATCGTGTCCGCCCGTTGCTTCTTTGTTTACATTAGAATATTGTAGTGTCTGCAGTAGATCATGTGTCTTAGACTTTAGCCCAGCTATCTTCTCTTTTTCCAGCTTAAAAGCAAATCACATGGAGGCTTATTTATTCCTGATGTTTCCAAATATCCATCTGCTTGTTGTCTATTTACAAGCCCATCCCATAATAATTTACTCCCCAAATATCCATCTGCTTGTTGTCTATTTATAGGTCCATCCCATAATAATTCACTTGTTATCTTCTCAGTTTCAAATTTTTCTTCTGCTTGCTGGATATTTTGCATATTCTGCTCAGGTACAAATCGTTTGGCCAAAGCTTGATTAAAAGAAAAAACTAACCTATCAAAGCCAACTTTTGATTCAATTAGGAAACAGTCGAGTTGCTTAATTAAAACAGTCTTCTGTTGCAGTATTATTGCCTGTTGAGATCGTTGCAAGGCTGCTAAAGAGGTCTGTATTTCCAAAAGTGTTTTTTGAATTTCTTCCATATTAATTTCTTCCATACTGGCAGTGATTTCGCAGCCTTGTCAGGGGTCCAAGAGTCCCAGGAACAAAAGCGCAAAGATGGCCGTTATTTTGGAAGTAGCCCAACACACAAGAAGATTACTTCTATCGTTCAATTCAACATTAATTTATTGTTTTAGTTCTTGCCCTTGGAGAGATTGAAGAAAAAAAAGATCTTTTCCTTACTCACAAAGAGCTCTGTCTCTCTCTGTCTCATGTAATTTGCCACCTTTCAATTCTGTGGAGTCGGGGGGAGAATTCTTTCCCTCCTCCATCCGAAGGGCTTTCTGTTTCCTCTTTTATATCAATTAGCAAATAATCCAGCTTTTTGCACGGGTATCATTGCAAAAAAGAAAAAGAAAAAAAAAGAAAAGAAATAAAAATAGTTCCCAGTAGATCTGATGCTAATAGCTAAAGTAGACTAAACAAACAAAACAAAAATGCTGAGGACTTACAGAGAGCTGAGATCTCTCCTGTACCATCCAGCTGAGAAAAGCTTGATTTTCTCCCAGTAAGCGCAGAATTGCCATTCAAACACCTGCTGGGAACTTTGCCAAGCAATCTATCTTCACCCCTACAGGGCTTAGATTGGGCCCCCACAGCCCACCACTGGACAGTTACCAGCGTGATAACGGAGCCCCGTTAATCACATCTGTCTCGTCCCGACGTCATACTTCCACTCCGCCATACTTACCTCCACCTCAAGGTCATCATCTAGACTCTTACCACATTCTTTTTAAGGGTTTGAGAGCTGGGGAAATAAGCAAATGGGGAAAGCTAGAGAACTCCCCTGAATCTGAATGACCGAATCTTCCCTGCAATTGCCTCCTACCACTGCATGGAGGCAAACAGAATAACCGGGGTTCCATTTTCACCTTGGACTCTCCAGTTCTGCTCTGATCTTGCTGGAAACATTATTGTCCTTGCAAAGGGTTCATGGCATTCCCTGCCCTGGTGACTTCTAAATGTGGAGTGGTAAAACTCCCACCTTATCCTGCCAGTTTAGCCAATGGCACCATGACATGGGAATTGCCATGTAACTGAACATCTGGAAATTTACCTGGTAGGAAAAGGCTTGGGGGATATTGGGAAAAGATTCTGATAAGTGAAGCGTATTGCCAACATGCATTGCTGCATGCCATTTCTTATTTTCTCTTCATCTAGAGTATGGTGGCAATTCTGGTGGGAAAGTCTGTGTGTTTCCCTTCGTCTACAAGTCTCGGACCTTCTACACTTGTACAAACGAAGATGCTGAACTTGGGAGATTTTGGTGTGCCACAACGGGGAGCTTTGACAATGATAAAGAATGGAGCTACTGTGCCGATACTAGTAGGAAAATCATGTGGACTTCAGTTAAAAGCAGTGTTGTGATTGGCAAAGCATGCATATTGGTAGACCAAAGGTAGTGAGGAGGTTGTGGAAAAGATGCTGTGCAGAAAAGTGGAGGAAGCATAACTCAATGGTAGAATGCATATTTTACATGCTTAATATGCCAGGTTCAGTCTTTGGCATCTCCAGTTAAAAGCTATTAGAGCAAAACTACATGTTAGCTAAAGACATAGTGTAAGGTGGAGAATTAACTTCTTCTTTAAGGCAGGTTGGTATGCATGGCCCTTGTTTGGAATGGCACCACTGTGCTATAGGAGAGGGGGATTGAAGCTCAACCCTTATTTGTTTTCTGAAATCCCCCCTCCAATAAAATCAACAAAAGAAAAAAAAAGTTTCCACTGCCGTCAATGGAGATTTCTCTTTTTGTATTACCTTTAGGGGAGGAGTAGATTTCAGGAAGAAAAGAGTGGCAGAGGGAGAAGTTTAATCTCCCCATCTCAGTGCATGACACACTTCCAAAGAAAAAGCTAACCTTCAGCTACATGCTACATGATTAGTGTAACGTGTTGTTTGGCTCTGAGGTGCAGCATTAGGAAAAAAGGTGGGGAATCATGGGTACTCAGAGTAGTCAACTGGGCTTAGGGAACCAGTGATCTGATGTGTTGCTTGGCAGCTCCATTTGCTTATTAAGTAACATGAGCCTTATGAATGTGAGACATGATACAGAACTAGATGGAGCTGGCCACCGCCCCTGATTTCTCTCCACTCCCATGGGTCAATCTAAATGGTCCAGGCTGCAAGATATACCCAAGAGAAGGCTTGGGCTGTAGCTCAGTAGTACAGCCCTGCTTGGCATGTGGAAGGTCCCAGGTTCAACCGCTGGCACCTCCTCACAGGGTTATGAAAGCATCCCACTGAAGACCCTAGGGAGCTGCTGCTAGTCAGGGTGGACAGTGCTGGGCTGGATGAACCAAGGGCATGACTTGCTACAAGGCAACTCCCTGTGTTCCTAGCAGTTCATGAGGGATGTATGTGCAGAAAGACACCAGACCGGAATCTATTGTTCAGGCACCAGGGATGGTTCTTCTAAGGAATGATGGTGGTGCACCACAAACTCCAATGATGATGTGCATTTCTTGGGGCCTCATTTAGGTTGTGACCCTCTGCCTGGCCTGTACCACTTTTGAATGCAGGTGGGGGCTCACATGGTTTTATACGATATCACACCAATCCAAACCCAATTAAAAATTCCTCAAGAAAGACATTTCATTGCTTGACAAGTTAGCTATCTACACAGAGAAAGTATTTTTTATATGGAGAAGCCTTCAGTACAGTGAGCCTGTCCTTACAACCGATATTTGAGTTACTCTTGAGTCTCCACTTTACCCTCAATTTACGAATCTTGTCCCTAGTTGGGGGAGACAGTCGCTGATGCCTCCCAAGAGAGGAGAAAGTGGCAAGCTGAGTGAGGAACGTGTTTTGCATGTTGGAATCAGTCAGAGTCCCTGGCCTTGGCTCTAGTCTGCTTTGTTACAGCCATCAGACTATGTTCCTGGCCAGGGCACCCAGCGTGGATGTGGTGCTTGCAAGGATCAAGCCCTGTGAGAATACCACACAAGCAGCGTCTCTCTTCCATGCATGCACTTGCAGCCTTGATTGTGCTGCTTGGTTGCCCAGCCTTTCTTCTGTGAATCCTGGTGGACTTCCTCTGGGGTCACTTCTAAGATGGAGCCAAGCATGAGAAGCATGCTAGACGGATGGATTCCATGGAACCTTTTTGCTCCACTGGTTGTGAATACTGATCTTCTAAATGCGGTTGATTATCAGAGATATGATCTTGGAAGTTCTCTTATGCACGATTCTGACCTTCTCCCCCTTTCCTTTTTTGGTCTGTTCTTCCAGGATTAAGGGCAAATTCCCAGGGGCCATGTGTCTTCCCTTTCCGCTACCGGGAAAAGCAATACTCTTCATGCACAACAGCTGGGGACTCTGGGGGAAAACTTTGGTGCTCTCTCACGAGCAACTATGATGTAGACCGCAAATGGGCATACTGTAATCCTTCAGGTAGGTGGAAATACGGGAGAAGAGGAGGCAATTCTAGGAGGAGTGCTACCGGTTAGTGTTGTTGGTGCTACTCAGGCAGGAAGCATGAGAAAATATTATGGAGCTATACATAATGTATTGGTTATGTATTGATACGTATTGTCTTGATATGTTATGTATTGATCATTTATTAGTAATGCTTATATACATCTTGATCTACTAAGCAATTCATATCTAAATGCTAAGAAGCGTATGAAATGCACTGTTGAAAAATTGGAATAGCAAGTGATACAAGGATGGTAAGAAGAACACCATATCATCAATTGCCTCTATTGACAAGCCAGAGGAGGTATGGATGATTATTTGGAGATACTTGCAACATTGCACCTTTTTTGCCCCCAAACTGAATGGGGAAGGGTTTTGTAGAGGAAGTGCTTCACCACTAAGAAGACTCACTTCTCTTTATTACGAAGACAGCAGAGAATCTTTATGAATGCTTATCAGAAATGAATTAAACAAATTCATCCTCATGCTTTCCACCAATCCCTCTTGATGTAGCTTCTATTTATTCCACCCAACCCTACATTTTGTTCCCTCTTCAGAACACCGTCCCTGCATCTTTCCTTTCATTTACAAGGAGAAATTGTACTTCAAATGTACGCGTGAAGGAGCTGCTGATAACACCCTTTGGTGTAGCACAACCTCTAACTATGACGTGGATGGTAAATGGAAGGCGTGTTCCACTCAAGGTAAGAGTCATGGGGGCGGCAAAAATCTTCTTGGAAACTCCCCATCTGGGCCATAAACCTCCCTTGGAAAGGGTTTAAAGGAAGTGTACAGCTTAGGGCAATCAAGATGACAGAAGGCTCACCTCATCCCATATGAACTTCCCCACATCTGATGCTAACCTAGACCCACATATTGCACTGATCTAGGGAGGCTTTCTCATCCGTTCGAAATATCCTTCTGTTTGGAACAGAGGAGAAGGCTCTCCTCTCATGCCCTGCTCCTATTTTAGAACTGCCTGCCCAGGAAGGTGACTTTTCTCTCTTCTCTATTTACTTTCAGTCATACAGTCTAGAACAGGGGTGAACAAATTTTGGTGGTCTGGGGGATAATTTTTCCCTCAGATGTATCATGGACTACATTCCCACCACTACTGCCCCGGTGCCATGGGAGCCTCCACTGTGGATGCATGGATTGGTCAGATTAAGGTTGGAAACAAGACAGACCTGTCCATTCAAAGCCGTGATATTGGCTTGTAACTGAATTTCCAGGTTAAACAAAGGGTGGGGAGACAGAGGGGACCAAGTATTACTTTTAATCATATGGCGTTACTTGGTTTGCTACCTGCTTTGAACTATGTGAGGAACAGTGGAATATACATATTTAAAATAATACTCCTCTTGCAAATTGGGAAAAAGGCATTTTTAAAACGACATGATCCATTTCCATTTGAAAATAAGCATTTTTAAAAAATGCATATTTCCCCTGACCAGAAATGTGCAGTTTCTCCCTTCGACTGATGCAGGGAAATTTTGGGCAAATAGGTGCAAATTCACAAAGGTACCTATAGAGACTTTTGGAAGTGCACATCTCTGTGATGTTAGACTTTCAGATGGAAGCCCAAGTTCAAGAAATTTCAAAAGTGTGCTTGAGAATTCTGTTCCTGCTTGAACTTTGAGGTAGAAACTTCAGCCACTTCCCTTCTTCCGAACCATATCATAGTCTATGCTCTTAATTTTGTGCATCTTCAGAATATGAAGGGAATTCCAAGGGGCAGCCCTGTGTCTTCCCCTTCAGCTACATGGGCCGGACATTCTTTACCTGCACCAATGAAAATACTGAAGACTCCAGATTCTGGTGTGCCACAACGGGGAGCTACGATTTGAGCAAGAAGTGGAGCTACTGCGCAGACACAAGTACAATCACTGAAGGCTGCTGTGTTGGGAGACAGACAATGAGTAGGGCTTTAGGAAGGGGGTCAGTTGTAGTTCAAGCCAGTTTACAGCAATTGCTACAGGAGCTGCAACAGATGGGAAATGTGAAAAGAGGCTGTACAATGTAGGCCTATTCAGCATGGATAGATTCAGCACGTTTTTCATTGGGTTGGAAGCAGTGGATGACTATGGAATCTGACCTCACTCTTGGATGGTTCCGTCTAAAATACCTGGACCTAACATTTAGCCTGGGGGTGTGGTGCATCAAAGAATCTTCAAGGGGTGTAAAATTCTCTAAAGACACAATCCTATGCATGTTTAGGCAGCAAAATGGCTTACAGGTCCCAACACAGCCCAGTCAAGAACCTGTCCTTTCTCTAAATTAAATTTGGCGGAAGAGCTGATAAGTGAAATCGTCTGACTGTTAGGCAAGTTTGGTAGAATCCAGGAAATATTATTGTCATGGAGTTATTGCTCCTCCGTCTCTTTTCTTGGATCTTCCAGGGCTAGATGACAGGCCCACAGGCCCCTGTGCCTTCCCTTTTATCTACCAGGGTGAGTCCTACTCAACTTGCAAAACAGATAAAAAAGGAGGCAAGCTCTGGTGTTCTCTCACGAGCAACTATGATGAGGACCGACAGTGGAGATACTGCGATCCCTCAGGTAGGAGAAACTAAGGGAGGTAAGGCTAAACTGAGCTCTAGGAAGTTGGGGTGACTGTCCTGAGGATGGCTGGCATGGAGAGTTAAAGGGCTGCTGCGACAGGAACCTATCGGGGTGCTCATGTACAGCCATGTTAATGGTTCTCCAACTGTGGAGCACATGTCCTGGGTGGAGGTGACACGTGGAAGGATGTCGCAGGGTCCCAAGGAAAGACGTTCCTGCCACAGGGACCTTCCTCAGAGCAGAGGCTTCCTGTCACAGCCACCCAGCCTCATCTACTACCCATGGAAAGGGTAAAGAGCAGGAGCTGGCCATTGTCGTCAGCCTGATGTGGTCAGACCATCTTACCCAGGTACAAGAGAGGGAAGCCTCCCCTTTGCCAACAGTCTCTGCTTAAACATAAGTCTTGTTAACAACTCTCATTAGCCCTAGGGAGCAGAGCCAGTGGTGAGGGATGGTGGATATTTGGTTCTGAATGTACCTGGAGGGCCATGTGCTTCCTTATCCCTGCTGTCAGGCATACATGGCATGTAGGTGGAAGGCAGTAGAACCTGTACCCCAGGCAAGTACAGTGCACCCCTGTGAAGTCGCGGTTCAGTGTTTGTGGCTTCAGTCTCTCGCAGGATTTTTCTCCGGGTGAGTTCAAGCCAATCTCCTTGTGAGTAAGCTGGTGCCTTGTCGTACTCACAAGGAGATCATTTCCTCCGAGTTTGGATTCGCTCCGAGAAAAGGGATCTCTACGCACACTCATCCCTGCCCCTGCCTCACCATGCTCGAGAGCCCATCCCCCAGCCCAGCACAGCCCGGGCCTCCCGCCTGCACTGCCTTGGCGGCCAGCGCCATCGCCAGCAACAAATTCACGGTTTTTTATATTCGCGGGTTCTGTAGGAACGTAACCCCCGCAAACTTCGGGGATGACTATATTCCATCTTCTTAATTCTGTTTTGTTTTATTTTATGTTGCTTTCATTTCATTCCTTTTCATACTCTGCTTGCTTTTCAGAACATCGCCCATGCACCTTCCCCTTCATTTTCGAGAACAATGCCTACTTTGCATGTACCAGAGAGGGAGCTGGTGACAATGCACTGTGGTGTGCCACCACAGATGACTATGACAGGGACACTAAATGGAAGGTGTGCGCTCTTGAAGGTAGGAGATCATAAGATGGCAACGCTCTCCATCAGGCAGCTGTGATCTTCAGTGCATGTGCTGACTGCAGTCCTTTCCCTCTGTATCCAGAGGGGTACCAATGATCTGCATTTCTTCTAAATCCATTACGATAGTATTTGCACACATGGATTTTGGAAAAAATACACATGCTTTCACACACACACTCATATAGTCAGACTGGGTGGCTCTTGCGTGGTATGGCTGGTGACCCTAGGAAGGAATGCTCGGAACTGGGGAAATTGGGATCACAAGAGTTGCTTTCATAATACCTAAAAAAGAAATCCAGTGAAAATCAAGGCACAGTGAGCAGAAAATGGGTCCTAGCAGGGAAGGGTGAAAACACATGCCAGTGACTCTGGAGTGCCAACTGGGCACCTCGGGGTGGCTGGCACTGATATTTGCCTGCTAGCCACTTGAAAAAAGAATCAACAGGTTTTACCATTCCTGCCAAGCAGCTCTTTAGTGGCTGTCTTCTGAAGTGTCATGTTATCCAGGTCCAGTTGGAAGGCACAGTAACCCGCTCCAGGGATTCATGTCAATCCAATTGGCATATCCCAGGACCGTTCACAAAAAACACTTCCAATAAAATCCAAATGATATAAAGCCTCCATTTGAACAAAAGCACTTTCCTGATGAATCACAGCTTTACAACCAATTCTGGCAGCAGAATGGGAACTGGAAATATGAGAAATCCAAGTATAGAAACTGGTGTTGCTTGGTTTTTACCCAGGTGCAAGGCCCACCTGTGATGTGAACTGCCCCACCAGCATGGTTCTGCCTCTCAGGCTCCACCTGGCACCAGAGTCCCTTTCCCACCTAGGTGGGTTGTAAGTCACAGTGAACAGAAAGATCACTGTGGCTTGTGGTGGTGCCCATGAGCTGCCAGTCATTTTGAGATTTCCACAAAGTTTGGGGGCATCCTGGATGGCTTCCCAACTGCCCACCCCTTGCTGCTCAGGAAGCCAAGGCTTGAGGGGGTTGGCAAGTGGAAGGGCTCCAGTCGAAGGCAGGCTTCAATGCTAGCAGCCCTGATGGGCCTCAGCAGCTATAGCAGGTGCTGTAAGCTGATGGATGCTGCCAGTGGTCTCCGTAGCTTCCTGCCAGTCGTTGAATGCAGGCTGTTGAGCTTCCACTTCTGACCAACCTTGATAGATCACCCTTTTCTCCTGTCATCTTTTCAGAGTATGGAGGGAGCTCCAATGGCAAGCCCTGTATCTTCCCCTTCATATACCGCAATGAAACATACTACAACTGCACAACTGAGAACTCAGAGAATGGGCTATTCTGGTGTGCCACAACAGCAAACTACAACCAGGATAAGGAGTGGAGCTACTGTCCTGATGAGAACTATAACCTGCCTCCCCTTCATTTGCCATCCTTGTCCGGAGAGTGTAAGTAGCGGATAGATGCTAGACAAAATTCAGGCAACCTTGTGCCTCTCAAAATTCAGCTTTGGTGGGTGATCACAGGATGCGGTACTATAAGAAAATGAGAAAACCCCTCTCTCTCCACTCAGGGTCTACCCTCTGTATACCATGCACAATATAAAAACCCTCTGATCTATTACGTTTCTTTTGTATAAACCAGAAAACCCAAATGTAGGAACTTTTCTGCATTAAGCAGCTACTTCAGTCCCCTGGTCCTTTTGGTTGGCCCTTTGGGCATCTTACCCATCTCTACAGCATCTTGCATAGGAAGTGGTGAGGAACAACCATTTTCTCTTAGAAACTCAAGAAATGCATACCAGAGAAGAACTGGTGGTGAGCGGATGACCTGAGAGAGCATCCCAGAGGAAAGGAGTGGTGGTATGTCCGGAGAGAGGCTAGGGAAATTGTGTGCACCTCCTTGCCAACTTTGTTGCAGGGGGAAACCCCTGGGATGGTTGTGGGATGGAATGTGTATGAGGAGGGAATGATTCCAGGGAGGCTGGTGGAATACTGCAGGTTCTTCCTCATCAAAGGAATCTTTCATCCTTTTATCTATTCTGTGTGCTGTTTTTCTTTATTACACCCTGCTTAGATAGAAGTTCCCCTGTTGGTCTTTCAGCCTCCCCAACCTAGGTTGAAATACCCCTTGAATTTGTATCTCTCCATTGCTCTTCCCCAGTTGCTCAATGAATGCCTCCCAAACTGGGAGTCCCATCCTCTGGTACTATGTCTTGCTTCATTTTGGAGTGTTTCATCATAGGTAAGGATATTCAAAAGTGGCTTATCAATGCCTCCTTCTGTGCAACACAAGCAAGAGATTGCTGGAGTGTCACTGCTGTTGTCTGTGAAAGATCCTCCACCAGTGTCATCTTCAACTCTGCCTCCTTCCCATTAGATGCCCTTCAGCAGTTTCTCTGCCCCGTCACTAGTAGAGATCTGCCTTCTCTCCTGCTGATGTGACCATTCCTTCTGAAGAGGTAGATGGCTCTTAGTGTGGTTTCTCACCCTTGATCACTCCACCTTGGGTGACCCTGCTAAGAAGCCAGGGGGTGAGAGAGCCTGACTTTGTGGTGGCATTTTTCTTGACTTCTCTGAAGACCTCCCTTGCCATGTGAAGATCTGCATCCCAGAGGGTGGTGTCCAGGGGAGAGAGGTGCGCATTTTACTAAGTGAATCTCACTTCTGGTCCCTCCGCAGCTGCCCCTTGGTCTGAAAAACCTTGCTTGTGCATCCAGACGTTATCCTGGATGGTTCCACCAAGGCAAATCAGCAAAGTTACTATCTACCCTGAGGGTCCTCAGTGTTCTGTTCCTGAAGTCATGTAAGCAACCCCAACCAAGCCTGTTCATTGGAGAAATCAATTGTATTAGCCTTTGGCTGTGTGGAAGCTCCTTATCACTCCAGCTACTTTCTCTTTCTTCTTGGACAGAGCCACCCTAAAGAGTGGGAGGGAAATCTGCCTGGACCCCACGGCAGCATGGGTCCGGAAGGTGATGGCCATGAGGAAGAAGGTATTTACATCAACTGTTGTGAGAAGCTGGCTGAACAAGAGTGGTTAGAGAGAGCCCAGTTGAAATAACACTGTGCAGAGTTCACTCGTAACTGAGATACAAGGAAAGGAGCATCTCCTTTGGCACAAGAGACTCAAGTCTTTGCATCCAGAGAGCTCTGCACCACCCCTCTCTAACTTCCAGGAGTGCTGCTGCCAGTCAGAATAGAAGATAGTGTGCCACATTCACTCTCCAATTGGCTTGATACAGAGTAGGGTTGTTTTGCTTTTTCCCCAGAAGAAAATGTAAGCAGCCTATGCATGGTCACAGCGTTGTCTTCAGTAGGGAGTGCTGGAAGAGAGCTTCCTGTGAAACCTGGGATTATGGATAAGTGCCTCCCACCCAAGTCATTCCTGAGCTAGCAGGAAACCCGCATTGAAACCTGGCTTTCTTGGGCACACTGAATCATAATCTTTTCTTTGGACATTGCATGAAGCTGTTCCCTTCCTAGTTTATTTAGAGGCTTGGTACAAGAATGATGCAAAATAGCGGTATTGTGATCAACACACAGCTCAGTCACATTAGCCCAGTAATTTCCCTCGATTCATTAGTTATTAATTAATACATGTATTAATCCAGGATACCTGGATTAATCATTAGGTGTAAAGACAATCAATTCCTAGAAGTGCTGTTATTCAACCAGGGCTACTGTAAGCAGTGGCCATTAAGGTGAACAGGAAAATAGGGTTTTATTTATTTTGTTTCTAATTCGCAGTAGTGGAACAGTGGTTGGACTCTCAGACTAAGACAACCCAGGGCCAAATTGCCAGATTCAGGGCCTCCACAACAGGGCTGATTGTCTGGTGTAGCAGGACAGGGGTGCTGCTGGTGGATGTGGATCTCAGTGGAACACAGGAGGACCAGAGGCGCAGGCAGAGTCAGGAACAAGTGCGGCACCCACTTGCTGGCCAGCAAGGCTTGGCAGGTGGAAAGGCAGCGGCAGAGCCATGCACAAGGAATGTCAGATACCGCCAGGGCATGGCAGGTGTGGTGGCAAAGGCACGACCAGGAGCAGGCAAGGGTCAGGCAGAGACAAGGCTAGGCCGAAGGCACGAGGCAAGGATGGAGGCAGGACTAGGGAGACGAAATAACCAGCACACAGGCCCCTGATGCTGTGTCCATGCTGAGCAGCGCAGGAAAGCCTTTTGGGGACCCTCCCAGATTGCCCATCTGTACTGCAGGCTGTGGTCCTTCCATGCAGCTGCAGGTCTGATCCTGGTCCCTCTGCACTTGCACAGAGAATCATGCAGCTGTTTGACCTCGTTTCATCAGCTGGAGCTGAGTCCCCCCTCTCACACCCTGGCAGCCATGAAGCTTCATTGCTTAGTACTTTGCCGTTTCACACTCTCTTTCTGGGTTTTGCAGAATCTTTATCAGACTCATCAGTAGTCTGCCGAAAACGATCTTCTGCGTGGACTGTAGTAGAAGATGCTGCTGTTTAATAATGAAGAGAGAGGAGGAGATACCAGACAGCATAAAGGTGGAAGAATGAGTAGCTCTGGATGCCCTTAAAAGCTGAATTCTCAATCAGTGCAATAGCTCTTTGCGCTATTATGTAATATGATAATCTTGAAACTGCACTTTGTAATGACTAGGAATCGCCATCTATCAATTCGCCAATTCTGTTTTCTACCGGCTGTGAGGCCAAAGGACTTTGAACATACAAAGGATGCCAAAGTACACAGTCTAACAGGAGTTTATTCTTCTGAACTGGAAAGTATATTTGTTTAACAGAGGAATGTCTCACAGTTTATACAAAAATAAACTATTCTGATCTTGATCTGTGGGGTGGATTTGTGGATTTATGTCTGATGATCATACCATATGCTCACTAGTGCAAAATCTACTTGTATGCTGATAGGTTTGCAACAGGAGAGGGGCCAACCAGGAAAGAGATCTTGGGCTACTGCTGTGCAATGCAGTGAAAATATCAATTATGCTGTGGCCTCTTTTGGTATTTAACACACAGTTAGGGTTGCCTATTAATCATGGCAGCAACCTGCCCTCTTGTGCTTTGATTTGCACAGGGAGCTGCTCTGGCAAAAGTAATTCAGCAAATCTGGCCAGTGTGTGCCAGGCAATTGCAGTGTGACTTGCAAGCCCCTGTGACTTGCTAACTATGCTGGTGGTCATATGAACCCAGTCATTAGCCTTGGGACTGCCTTTACTCCCTCTGCCTGAGGATATTTTCCTGGAGTAGGATATCCTCCCTTCCCTTTCAGGCTGCAGGTCTCTCCACTGTCCAAGCACAGCAGTTTCAAGGGAGCTGCTGAGCAATGGCAAGTGGGTCTGAAGCTGCCATGATGTTCTGCAGCCTGGTTGTGTACTTTGTGGCATCACCACTAGCACTGCAGCCCTGCTTACTGCCCAAGGGTAGAGAGGGCAATTGTCTCATCCTGATATGCCCCCTTCTTGTCTGCATGTTGGCTCTTGCATGGATTCCTATGCTGCGTGGCCATCAGCACAGTTGTACGGTGCAATATTGTCGATGTGTTGTCACAATAGCACAACAAAGCATCCCTCCACATTGGCTCTCAGGGCCTCTTCGCGGCTCTAGGTTTGGGAAAAGAACATGGCAGTCCTGCCCACGGCACTTAAAATTCAAACAAGCAGCAATTTATTTACATCCTTTCATCCTTCTGTAGAACTCAAAGGTGAATCCATGGGATGTTCAGGTGGTCTTCTGTTCAGGTATTTCATTGACCCACCCCTTCTTAGTTTCCATAGCTCAGCTTCATTCAAGAGCTTTTGGACCATCACTCTGGCCTGAAAGGGTCCATGCATAATACAACATGACTTGTGTGGGAAATCAGTGAAGGTTGCATGAGCAGATATGGAAAGCTGGCTGAAGATCAAATACTGGACCAGGGGTTCCAGAATTCCCAGCCCTTATGCTCAGTAGAAGGGCACCAAGTTGGGAAGGCTGGTATAGCCCTTCCTGGCACTGGCTTCATGGATGAACCTGGGTAAAAGGAAAGGGTAAGATGGTGGTGCCAGGTTGAACACTTTTGCTTTGAACGACCTTCCTCAGTCCATGCATTTGTGAGAGAGAGGCTTTTCACTGGTGAAGAAAAATCAGCCTTCACATACTCAGAGGCACACCACAGATTCCTGGCAAGAAACATTGATTCCTCTGGGATGAACCCTGATTCAAAATAAATCTTGGTAGTGCTCATACTGTTCATATGTAATAACCCTGTGATAACTGTTGTGTCCCACGGTTTTGCAGATGAGACCAGAGACCAGTTGGTAGTATTAAAGAGAAGTTTATTACCTGCAGGGACCAACATTCTAGTAAGAATGCAGTGGCCTGGCAGAAGAACAATGGTGGTTTTATACCTTTGCAATCAACTTACAGTCAAGTGAGCGAACAATAGAAAATTACAAAGTCACGTAGGCAGTGGTCTATCAAGTTGAGCAAGCGAGATACAGAAGCAGAATGGTTTAGCAGTTAGTCTATTTTCTTAAGTTTTATGCCTTTTACAAGCTTTGCCCATTATGCCTTTGACAAGCTAATAAACATCCTGTTATACTAATCCTGATGTGCTAATCCTGTTATGCTAATCTAGTGCCAGGAGGGTCGTGACTAACAATAACACCCATCTCAATTCAACAAACGGCAGCTCTGGATGGGCAGCCAAGCTTCATCCTGCATTCTGGGATGACTGTAGTACTTCAGACTCACATTCTGTACTGTAATTTAAACATGAATATTCCTGACTCATACTTTGGCCGCCTAATGAGAAGGAAGGACTCATTGGAGAAGATGCTGATGAGAAGATGCTGATGATGGGAATGATTGAAGGCAAAAGGAGAAGGAGACAGCAGAGACTGAGGTTGTTCACTGAGGAGGCCAGTGTGGGGTTGGGTGGACTCTGGGGGATGGTGGAAGACAGGAGAGCCTCAGGAATATTGTCTTTGCGGTCGTGAAGTTTAGGACATGACTTTGCGACTAAACAACAAGAAACATTCCTGACTCATTCTTTTAGGACACTGACAGGAAGTGCATTCTCTAAAACACTGCTGCATTTCAGCTTCCTACCTGTTGTATATGGTTTAAGAAAAAGGAAACATGCCCAGAGTTTACGCTCCAGAGCAATAGCTGTGCTGGGTGCTTTTGTTACCCTATTAACAAAGGCTCACCAAGAAGCTATAAAGTAAGGTTCAATTCTGATCATCTTTATCTCATTTTAAGGCTAAGATTCTTAGCTAAAACCTCCAGCAAACGTAATGAAAGTCTATTCAGGGAAAGTTGAATGCTATGAGTATTTTTTAAATTAGTAGGCCAAACTTGTCAAGCAGATAAAAAGTCAATGGACCTTCTATTTTTATGCAGATTTTCTCCTTTTGCAAAGCCTCAGGAAGAATTAAACCTTTAATTGTCTGTACTTGCTGAGAGCTGAAAACCATTCTTATGCTGATTGCAATCCCTGGAGGAAAAGTTCCAGCCAGAACAAAGATTTTTAGGATTTTGCATTTTTGTAGCCTCAGGCACTATTTGCTGGAGTTAAAAAAAAAAAACACTCTGTGATGTGACATGAGTAAGGTTATTATTATTTTTTAAATATGGGATTAACTTGGACTGGATTTCTACAAGCGTTTCTGAGTTTCTAAAGCCTTTTCTGAGAAAACTCTTTCTATGGTTTTGATCTTATCAGGACAAATCATGGCTCAAGCAATCCAGCACTTAGTGGGTTTTCAAGTTGAACCTAAGAAGCAATCATCACTCAACAGCTTACTTCTTGTTAACTCTGAATAGGATTAACAGTCATGCCCACAAAACACAATTGCATTTACATTATTTTATTAGTGGTTTGCATGTTTGGTTAAAAGCAGTAACTGCTTTGAAATTTGTTTAGATCACTGTAGGATATGCCAATAGGATATGTAATAAAAGTGGCTTTATGCCACAGACTGTGGTTGAAATCTGTGTCTTTCTAAGCTTGCAATGGGATTTATGGATCGAAACCAAAATGCATTTTACAGCATGTATTCATTTAAAAAACCTCCCATAACATGCTTGAACTAATGGGAAAAGAATATGCACTTTTCAAAGACGCACACAATTGATGTGTATATTGGAAAATATTCATAGAAATATGCACAGGATTTCTTGAGAAAAGGAAAAATAGTTTGCAGTCTGACACAGATTCATGTTGGAATGTGCTTTGAGATGGAATTTTTGTTTAGGTCACTGCAATTGGAGGAAACCTGTACATGTGTCTATAGGTTGGCATGTTATGGCATTCTGTTTAAACCAGGGATGGAGAAACTATGACTCCTGAGCTCTTCTTGGACTCCGGAGAGTCCAAGCCTTGGAGTCCGACTCCTGTCTCTAGCTTGACCAATGCTGACTGCTGATGGTACATAGAGTTGCACAATATCTGAAGAAGCACAGCTTCCAGAATCCCAGCTGAAAATATGAAAACTGGGCTGAGTGGTGCAATTGATAGTAGTGAAGGAGCACATAGGAAGAAAGGACTGTATTTTCACCCCGCTCTTCAAATCTCTCCTGTATTCTCCCTGCCCCTACCATGCCACCAGTCGCTTTCCTCCCAATGAGGGGTGGGTGAGAAATCTTCCCACTTTTCATTTTTCTACAAGATTTTTAGGATTTTATACATCCATTTGTACATCCAAGAACAAAAAGCAGACCAGAATACATTTCTGACCTTGTATTCCATCAGACTATCTCAAAATGTATGCAGCAGCAGGCACTCATCTGGGGAAAAAGAAATACTTAACAAATAGGTGTTCATTTATAAAATGTGAGTGAGCATGATTTGAATCATGCACATAAAAATCCTCAATTTTTAAAAAGTGTGCATATAAGTTTGTATAAATTATTGTCCATGGGGTTCAGGATCTCATTTGCAACTAGAATGGAAGAAGGCTGGCAATGGAAAAACAATGTGAAGTTTGACAGTCTTGTCCCTCCCTACAGCTGGAAAACCACAAGGCACTTCTTTATTTACAGGAATTGAAGCTCTATTTAGATAGCAAAGCAACAAATTCATCTGGGCAGAAAAGGTCACGAGATAGTGCAGGCAGGAGGCGGGGGGGGGGGTGGACTCTGTTTCTAGAAACATAGATTAGGCACCAGAGAAGAGGAAGAAAACTGCTTGGAAGGATTGCAAGAAATGGGCTATGAACCAAGCAAACCCCAGGCACCCTTTTAGCACATCTACAAGCTCAGCTGTTAAGGATGTAAAAGGGAAACAGAGCTGTTTGTCATCAGTGTCCTGATGGCAGTGCACCCCAAAACTCCAGAGTTCATGTAGATATTAAACCGCATGGGGGATAAGACTGACCTCTGAGGGACCCCATGCTGGAGAATCCACAGGGCTGAACAACAGTCCCCAAGTACCATTCTCTGGAGCTATTTATCCATGTCGAACACTGCAATGCAGCACCATCCATTCCTAGCTCAGATCGTTGCTCCACAGAGATACCATGGGTCAAGCTGCTGAAGAATTCAGGAGTAACAACAGGGTCCCACTCCTCTTGTCTCTCTCTGGCATAGGTTATCATATAGGGCATCTAAAACCCAGCCAGAACCTCAGTGAATCCAGACAATCAGTCTCATCCAAGAGTGCCAGGAGTTGGTTTGCCACTTCCTGCTCAAGAACCTTGCCCAGGAAGGGAACATTTGTCAGTGGCCTGAAGTTGTCAGGATCTTCTAGGTCCAAGGAAGTTTTCTTGAAATGTGGTATCCCCATCACCTTTTTCTGGCAGCATGAAACTACTCCCAATCAAAGGAGATGTTGATCACCTCCCT